CGACTTTTTTAATTATTATTTTTATTTTAGATTCAGGGGGTACACACAGGTATTCATGACATAGACATATTATGTGACGGTGGGATTTGCTTTCAGGTGGCCCATTCCCCAGAGTGGACATCGTGTCTCATAGATGGTTTCTGAACCCTAACGCTCCCTTCATGTCCCTTATGAGTGTCCCCAGCGTCTATTCTTTCCATCTTTGTGACTGTTCAGCTCCCACATAGGAGTGAGAACATGCGGTGTTTGGTTTTCTGTTTCTGAGTCAGTTTACCTAGAATGATGACCTCCAGCTCCAACCATGTTGCTGCAAATAACATGATTTCATTCTTTTTTTTTTTTTTTTTTTGGTTGGAGTCTCACTCTGTCGCTCAGACTGGAGTGCAGTGGCCGCTCCCAGCCACCACAGCCTCGACCTGCTGGGCTCTGGCAATCCTTCCGCCTCAGCCTTCCTAGTAGCCAGAATTACAGGTGCACGCTACCACGCCCGGCTAAGTTTTGATTTATTGTAGAGATGAGGTCTCGCCAAGTTGCCCAGGGGGTTCTCGAACCCGTGGGCTCAGGCAATCCACTCACCTCAGCCTCCCAAGACGTGGAGTAACTGGAATTACAGAGGTGCGCTACCACACCCGGCTGATTTTTTGATTTATTGTAGAGATGAGGTCTCGCCAAGTTGTCCAGGCCGGTCTCAAACCTGCGGGCTCAGACAATCCGCTCACTTCAGCCTCCCAAAGCGCGGGATTACAGGCTGAGCCACCGAGCCTGGCTTTTGAGATGCTTTTTAACAGGAAGATTTTAGAATATCTAGTCTTCCATATTATTTGAAATAGGCAGTCAGCATATTTTCATATGCTCATTTACTCAAAAGTTATTTGTGCTCTTCTTTTTAGGGCAGAGACATATTTCAGGCACCTCTGTCCCCTGCCCGCAAACCCTAGTCAGAGTCAGTATCAGTAACTCTTGGTTGAATAAGAGAGTTTCAACCAAGGGCAGGGAGAGGTGAAAGGGTTGGAAAGGTATCCTATTCCACCCATCAAAGCAATTTTGGAACTCTTTTTCTGGAATGGCCATCAGAGCTGTCATCGTATTATCCTTGATGACCTGAATGTCATCAAATGTCTTCCTTTCAATATTTCCTTTATCTTCGGGTAAAGAAAAAAAGTCACTGGGGGCCAGCTCAGGTGAATAGGGAGGATGTTCCAATACAGTTATTTGTACAGTGCTGCCAATGTAAGTACATGATGGCAGGTTCACGAACTTAATTGCCAGACCTCAACAAATAAGGACAACAGCTATGATGGCCATTTCAGAAAAAGAGTTCCAAAATTGCTTTGATGGCATGGTTAAGATGTCCATCCTACCCAAGGCAATCTACAGATTTAACGCAATACCCATTAACTTACCAGTAGCATTCTTCTCAGGCCTGGAAACAATACAGAAATTCACATGGAAACATAAACAACCACAAATAGCCAAAACTTAATAAAAGAACCAAAGCAGGGGGTATCACACTTCCAGACTTCTTGCATCTGAAGGAGATTTGCCGAAGGGGATGGGATAGGCTGCTGCTTGTTTTGCAGTAGAATGTCTGAATGCTTTCCAAGTAGCCGGAACTACAGGCGCGTGCTACCATGCCCGGCTAGTTTTTGATTTACTGTAGAGATGAGGTCTCGCCAAGTTGCCCAGGCGGGTCTCAAACCTGTAGTTCCAGCTACTTGGAAGGCTGAGGCGGAAGGATCGCCGGAGCCCAGCAGGTCGAGGCTG